CTCATGCAACATTGCAATTCTTAATGTATCGCTTTCATGACTAGCCGTCGTGGTTATCAATCAATATTCGTTTTCCTAATAATGATCATCTTTAATCTGATAAATAATATGGAATATTAAATTTCTTGGTTTTCAACTTGTGATTCTAATTGTCAAATATATGTGGCCATGATCAAAAATCAGAATCCCAGTGTCAATCACCAGATGTTCAGTCTCTAAGACATCACTATGGGCAACTCAACCACGTGTGTAGGTTTTCAAAATGACGCCACTGTTTGAATATATACCGCAGTTTAATGGGCAGCGCCTGCGCCTATCTAATGCCAATGAATTTTGTACTTTAAATCATGTTTTCTAGATTTAACCCTTATGCGGTTACCTTAAAAATCCACATTGAATGAGAAAATATTGTTTTTTATTCATAACTTTTGTCATAAACCTTTTTTTTTTTCTTCTTCTTTGAGAATATCGTAACATTTTTATTTGTATATATAGAGCCTCAATGTCACTCTTTGGTCAAGGTCTTCAAAATCAATGGACGGTATGGATCGGCCCTGATCTTAATATTTAAATCAAAATGTAGAGTTTAAAGAACAAGTTACAATATCAAAGAGATTGGAGATTTCTCTTATCCAATATGTACAAGTTCCAGCTATTTAAAGGGAATCTAGGCTAACTGTTTAAAAAAGAATCATATCATGAATATGGCAGAGCAATAAAAGATAAATGCATGAAGTGTCAAATGGTTATCTGGGTAGCAAGTTGGTTATTTTGAAAATCTTGAAGTTTGTTCAAGTGTTTATAAGATGTTGCGTCCGATTTTGGAGAGAGAGAGAGAGAAAGAGAGAGAGTCATCAAGTGTTGCTGTTGAGACTCAATATTTATAGGTAGAAAAAAAAAATCTTCAATGATGACGGTGAAGGCTGGAGGATAATACTTGAGTGTTGTCCAAAGTTAGCTGCCGATTTGTCCTCGTGAGTCGATCGATAGGTAGGAGAACGGATATCTCAGATGAAAACACTGGTTTCAAGAGATATCCCTTTGATTTGTCATCTTTTCGCAGTTGGAAGACCAATTGGAATATAGTTCCTCTTGATTTTGGCGTCAATTACCCAGCCTGCTTTCTTGCTGAGAGATACAGCAAGAACCTTAATAAATTAAATGAATATTACCTTATGAACTAAGACTTTCCATGCTTGAACCTCAAGAAATCAATAAAAATATTACCATTTTGTTAGTCAAAACAACAAAACAGGAAATTAATTGAAATTGGGGATGGTACCTTTCCGCAATTCCTAGTTCCCAACTAAAATTCCTTATTCTAGCTAACCAAAGCAAATCCTTGTGTAGCTATAAATAAATAAATTAATTAAAAATTACATAAAATTCCAAAATGACGGAATTTAGATTTCCATCATTTCAATTTTTGGCAATTGAAGATTTCAATGTTTGTATTTATGTTTGCCGAATTTTGTAAATGATAGAATTTTGCAAATGACACTATGAAAATTTTGAAATGACACATATTTTGGTGAAATTAAACTTAAGAATTTTATGCCCAATTTTCACGATTTTTTCTGCGTGCCATTTAATAAATTCAACACTTAAGTTACCAAACAAGTAAATTGTCAATTTCTCCTCTTAAATCACTGACTTTGAGCTAAATTAAGAGTTACTTTTTCTCATCCAAACGGAAGGTAAATGCTGTACGCAGTTGAAATAAAACTAACAATAATATCCATGGTAAGCAACAAAAGACTTAAACTGCATAAATAGTAACTGGAAATGAAAGACGAACTGAGCAGAGCACCACTAAGCAAGGCTAAGATTATAGGTCATCATGACTTACGAAGCTAAGATGGACAAACTGTGATGAAACTGAAGCCATTTAGCAGACAAGTTCAGTTTGTTCATCAACTGTTAATTTTCTGAAAGTGGTCTTCAAACCAAACACGAGGCAGTTTAATTTGGTTTGGACAAACTTCACATAGGATCCGACTGAGCCATTTTGTCCGCACCCTTACAATAATAGATATAGAGGCCAAAGGCCCAAATATGTGGAGCTGTCCGATGTGTCAGCAGGTCTCCCATCGTGGGCCCACAAATCCAACATATCGCAATCCTTTATTCCCAATTATACAAAACAGCCTACCGACTTTGACTTGCGTACTTTAACTCTGAAGTCGGACTAAGTCTGTGGACCGCAGGATTATAAAAATCACATTTTCATCGCCATCCGACGGTCTTAAGTCCAGGTGGTTGGTGCTCCTCGCGCGCACCGGATAGTCCATATCTTGAATCCGATAGGACCCGCAGTTTGACATGGGCCCCACCGAATTCAACCAAACACGAAACGAGAATCTGTGGCCCAGATTAGACATTCTATTTTACGATACCGCTCTGTCCAGCTCAGACGCTGTCACCCTCACCATCACGCCATCCTGCCCCTACACGTGGCGTCAGATTGCGATCGATTTCCGTTTCCGTAATCCATCTCATATACTTTCCCTTGGCGCTCGACTCTCCGACTATGCAGACCACAACAGAGTCCTACTAAGAAAATCTGTATATCCCCAAAAAGCCCTCCGAGTCTCTTCAAATTTTCACTCCCTACCCTCAGTGCTCCTGTGATCATCCGGCTCTACTTCTCTGCCCTAGTGCCTTCTCCCTCACTCTCCCAGCAACCTGGAAATGGTGGAGCCGGTGACGCCCGACTGCGACGAGGAACGCTCGCTCCTGCAAGAGTCGAGCAATGTTGACGAGTCGTGGCGGTTGAACTTCGACGGTTTCCAGGTATCCTCTGAGCACAAGGAGAAAAGGCCTCCCCGTGGCCTCCATGACTGCCTTGGGGTTCTAGGTAATTTCGCATCTTCACTTTCATTGTGAAAGTAATGTTATATTTTTTTGGGTGATGTTTGTTTTTTCTTTTGTGTGGTCTCAAATAGCAATTTTCTGTTGCGTGCTTTGGTCTCCCAGAATTTTTCTTGTTTCGGTAGCTCACTTTTTATATATAAATGAATTAAACAAGTCGGATTAATTTTTGTGGTTAGATTTTAATTTGTCTTTTTCCTACATATGCATATATTCGAGATTCCAAGGGTGTGGAGGATACAATTTGCTATATAAAAAAATGTAATCGAAAAGCTTAAAGTGGAGGTGAATTACAAACATTTGTGGGAGAGTGCTGGAGTTGAGCGGTTTATAGTTTATGGGTTTTTTAATGTGCTCTGTGTTAAGCAAAGTTTCTTTAGTTTTCTTAATGGAAGGGACCTTGTAGGATTGTTAGGGTCCTTACTTGTGCTGTCCCCTGTGTTGAATGATCTTCGGGACTGACTGTCAGAGTGTAAGTTCACTTGCAACATCTGATAAATAAAGCATTTTCTGGTTGTGGTTGGAGTATGAGTATTTGCTGAAGTAGTTTATAGTTTCATAATTTGTGTGAAGGGTGAACGAGGGTTTCATATTTTCATCATCTATGTGAAGGGGTGAAATGGGCAAAGGGAATATGTTGAGACGACTATTATTCTTTATGCAATAAATATATATATGTGCAATTAGCATATGAGGAGCTTGCACAGGTACCATGTTAATTGTTCTGCTTGATGGCCTCAGGCCCGGAAGATAATGTGGCAGAGTACTACCAACAACAGGTAGAAATGCTTGAGGGCTTTACCGAGATGGATGTCTTAGCGGAGCGTGGTTTTATTCCTGGAATGTCAAAGGTTTTATATTGCCTCATGTTCTCCGTCTCTTGAAATATCAGTACACTCAAATTACTTTTAAACTGATACATAACGACATCTGTTGCAGGAAGAGCAAGAAAAGTTGGCAAACAGTGAGACATTTGCCATCAGAATATCAAATGTTGCAAACATGGTTCTTTTTGCAGCTAAAGTTTATGCATCTGTCAGAAGTGGTTCATTAGCCATCATCGCATCCACATTAGACTCATTGCTCGATCTGTTGTCTGGCTTCATCCTGTGGTTTACTGCATTCTCCATGCAAAGCCCTAACCCATATCAGTACCCTATTGGGAAGAAACGCATGCAGCCATTGGTATGTCTCTGTACTATTGTTGATGGTAATTATAGCCATAGTTTCAAATTGCACCGGATGTTGATGCATGCAACTGCACTCCGCATATGATGTTTTCTATGTTTACACATACAAGTTATGTTGCCTTCAAAGTCACACACTTATGATATCATAGGTTTAATCCCCCATTCATGGTTGCTAGGCTTAGTTGTGCAGCTTGAGTATTCATGTGACTATCCAATCTCAACTGTTAATGGGCTTGGGGTTCACCCATACAGGGGGCCCTTGACTGTTGAGATTGGATAGCATTTTTATTTTATTTTTTCTTTTGGGAATGAAGATGGAAGGTATGCATCCGTGTAACTTGTAATGGTCATACCTTTTTCCTTGTTAGACAACCCTACAAATTGTTCCTTCAAGCTGGATAGTTATTTATTTCTTGTTAATCTACATTGAACAAAATCTAAGCACTGAGAGGAAAGTTCTAACCATTTCTTTAATCTTGATTCATGCTGCTTCGTGTCAAATGATATGTGCAGTTCTTTGTATTCTTGACCGTTGTCTTAGTTGATTCCCTGGATTTTTTATTGGCTTATCTCAACCATTTTTCTTTCTTCGTTGAGAATTTACTATTGTTTCTTTTTTTGTCTGTTTTTCGTTTCCTGCAAGCTAGGCTATATTTTAAAGGATAAATCGGTTCATTTTTCTGGCCGTGTTAGTGCCCATTGGAATTTGTATGTGATGAATTGTTGTGATGTGTTAGGAGTAGATCATACATATGCAGGTGTGTGTATTTATATTGATTATATATATAACTCAAAAAAGCCAACGAGCGAGTCGTGAGCAAAACTACCATAAGCATGTCTGGGTAGTTTGTCAAACGTAGGGTTCAATACACCCTTTCTTAGCCTTACACCAAGCAGGCTCGTGAGGTAGTTGACTTGTTTTGCTGTGGACTGGTTTGTTTGCATCCTTATTTGCCATTGCTTTAAAGACATGGGACAGGGTCAAGAAGTAGATAGCTTCTTTTACATATTGCAGTCATGATATTTTTCGTTTGAGTTATTATATTGCATATGTTTCCTCATCCTTTTTTGAGGTATTGTTGAAATGTCTTTGTCATACTCAAATCTGAAGCTTTAAAGTAATATGCAGGGAATCCTTGTTTTTGCCTCTGTCATGGCAACCCTGGGACTGCAGATCATCCTAGAGTCAATGCGCACACTAGTTTCTGATGTAAGTTGTTATGAGCTGATATTCAAGCATATAAAGATATTTATTACTTGGAGGGTTGAACACTGGATTTCTTGATAGTCTGGCTAAGAAAAATGAACTGGATGTTCTTGTTACAAACTTACAATAAACTGCCACTTCCATTTTTTGTTAAAACTAACACTCTTACGTTGCTTTTTCAAACTTATATGTTTTACTAGGAGGGTGGGTTCAGATTGAACAAAGATCAAGAGCGATGGGTCGTGGGCATTATGCTCTCAGTGACTTTGGTTAAATTGCTTCTGATGCTTTATTGTCGCACTTTCAAGAACGAAATTGTTAAAGCCTATGCCCAGGATCACTTCTTTGATGTTATAACTAACGTCATTGGTCTCGTTGCTGTGCTCCTTGCTAATTACTTTGATGATTGGATGGACCCTGTTGGAGCTATCATTGTAAGTGACTTCCTGCTCTCTCCATTCCTCCAATCTTTCTTCCCCCCAAATACTGATGCTGAAATAAGAACTTTACCTGTATAAGGGTGCCAAGTCTTGCGTCTTTATGAAAGGGTTGGTGTGAGACTCTACAATAAGATAGAATTTCACCTAAGGTGAATCTTATGAAGTACATAGTAATTGAGCAAGATGTTAGATGAAAGGTTTTCATACATGCATTCTCCGTGAACTGAGGTGAGCTGGGTACTTTTACGGTATTATTTTCATACTCTTCCAATGCTTTTAAACAATGGACTTCTAGATCTTGAACTCCCTTTATTGGGTTCTCTGGATCAAGAGATTGTGAATTTGACTGTATTAGCCACTACTATTCCTTTTGGCCACAACCACTACTATTCTTATATAACTATTAACCTGGCCTTCCTGATATTTAAAAATATAATTATATAGATTATAGAATAACAGGGGAATTTTGTTTTTTGGCCAGAAATATGTGTGGTGATTATCTTGCAATTTATGTGTCAAATGTCAATTGATGCTTTGTCAATTATTTGGGCTCATCCAATGCTGATAGGTGTTGAGGGCTACCTTCATATTATCCTTGGACTTTCTGGAAGCTATACTTATATGTAACCTTGGAATTCTGCAGCTGGCCTTGTACACCATTCGCACCTGGTCCTTGACGGTTTTGGAAAATGTGAATACCCTAGTTGGAAAATCAGCTGCTCCAGAATATCTACAAAAACTGACATACCTTTGTTGGAACCATCACAAGGCGGTACGGCATATAGATACTGTGCGGGCTTACACCTTTGGCTCTCACTACTTTGTTGAGGTTGACATTGTCCTGCCAGCAGACATGCCCTTACAAGTGGCTCATGACATAGGAGAAAAGCTGCAGGAGAAGCTCGAGCTCTTGCCCGAAATCGAGCGTGCCTTTGTTCATCTAGATTATGAGTTCAGTCACAAGCCCGAGCACGCACAGTCACGCTCATAAAGTGAGGATTTTTATTTATATATTACTGTTCCACGTGAATGCTAGACATGATTCGGAACGGGAGGCAAAATGAAATGGAAAAATGTGTAGATATTTGGTTAGGCATCAAGAACAAGTTGGATTCTTCTAGTTACAATGGGAAACAAACATATGTGTATGGCTTGTTCCCAATCTCATGCATCCTAAAATGAGACGCAGCAATTTCAACTTGATAGGTCCAGCCTACCTGCTAATTTAGACTGCCTGAGCTTAGGTGGGCCTCAGATCTTCTCAATCAAAAAACAAAGAAATATCATATTTGGAAACTGTTTTCCAATTAATTAACACGGTAATTTCAGAACTTTCACTGTCGCATTTTCTTTCCCTCTCTCCCATCTGTATATACATTTAAACTGCTATGTTTTTATCCACCTGCGAAAAAATATCAGCATTTGTAAGAATTAAAGGGAGCAAAAGAGAACCCACAAGTTGATGTTACTCTCTCTGCCTTTATGTGGTGGACCAAAATCCTATCAGAGTCCTAGTACTTAGGCTAAAGCCCCCAAATTGGTGGAGGAGAGTGCATGAAAACTTAATGAACTAGCCCCCAATTGAAATTGGAAATATTAGGAATATGGGAAGAGAAGAATGGGTATGGAATTAACTACTTCCCGTAAACAATTTTTTATTTATTTATTTTGTAAATGTTAAATTGTGAATTTTAATGTGAGATTCATATAATTTTTTATTTTGCTAAAATAAAAAAATAATTCGAAAAATTATAAGAAATTAAATATGCGATTAATTATTATTATTGAATTTTATAAGCTCCCCCCAGTCGGCAGCCCCGGCCCAATATCTTAAAAAGTGCAAATACGAGACTGATACATGCACGTGGTGAGCTGTCCCAGCAAAACCGCTTCCGTGTGCCTATCACCTTCATCCTCAATCATGCCGGCTTGAACTCGTCTGTAGTCTAGTCCACATTCATTCAATTCAAACCCCGCAAAGCCCCCAAAACTAGAAACACTTGCATGACATGGATAACACTCGTGATAATTTTTCAATATATTATAACGTTATTGGTCAGAAATAGCAGAATAGTGTCGTACATCTTGCAACTAAGTTTTCGTTACCCAGAACCCATTCTATTTCTGTGTTTCTATAGAAATTTGTACATCTATTGTTGGTTCAGCCTTCACTATTTTTGTCGTTTTCCTTCATATGGTCCTCCTCTGTTCTCAATTCTCACGACCGTGGCTACTTCGAAATTTCCACTAAGTCAAATTGGAAGAATAATACAGCTTTAGAATCTGATTTCCTCAACTAATTTCTAATCAAATTGACATTTCTTCCCCTTTGCCGATCTTATTTTCCCTCTTATTTTTATCTTTTTTAAAGCGGCGACGATTAATTGAAAACCGCGGATATAAAAGGTAATTATTATCATTTTCCTGAATTAAATTACCATTTACCAAACGAAGTGGACCAGTAAGCCATCAGCAATATCTCTCGGCCACCCAGCGCCGCGCACACTCAAATCAAAAGCCACGATAGAAAATAAAACTCTCTCATGCGCCGGTGGTGCGCATGGAGATAACCTACGCATCTCCCAGCTCCACGGACTTCGCGGACGGATCCTCCATGCCGACCTCGACCAGACCCGTCCGAATCATCCCCCTCCAGCACCCCAGCACGACGTCGTCTTCGTCCAGCGCTTCGTCGTCGACGTGGGCCGCGCTGTCGAGATGGAAATCCAAGGTCCAGAGCATGACCTGGGTCGAGTGGCTGGAGGTCTTCTTGCCTTGCACCCGCTGGATTCGGACCTATAAATGGCGCGAGTATTTGCAGGTCGATCTCATGGCTGGCATCACCGTCGGCGTCATGCTCGTTCCTCAGGTAGAAATTGCTTTTTTCTTTTGTTTTTCCGTTTTTAGCTCTGGTCGTCGTCCCCTGTTTGGTCGCCGAGAAAATGAAGGAAACAGAAAGAAAATTCTGAGCATTAACTATTCAACTCAATTCCGCCAATTCGTTTTTCACGTTGAGTTGAGTGTTTTTACTTATTTTAATTACAAGTTTCGGTTCTTTTCTTTCTTGTTTTTGATTTTTTAAACTGAAATGGAATTGCCAGGCCCTTACGTTGATAGTTTCTAGCCTTTTCGTTGCCTGAACTGAACCATTACTTTTCTCAGCAACCAGAAAAGACTTTTCTTCGTTATTCTTTTTTTTGGTCAGTTTGGTTTCTAATCTTGTGACGTTAATTAATTTTGAGGATAAACAAACCGATTTAACGCTGGTTTGTTTTTTATTTCTTTCGAAACACACGCCACTAATTAAGCTATTTGTTCTCGTACAAAAATTAAAATTTTGAAACCTAAAACATTAATTTCCTACAGTTTTCCGACCAAACAGGAGCAAATTTCAAGCTTTCTCCCATCACATGCTTCTTTTTCATTTCGTCTGTCCAATCACATGTTTATTTGTTTTTGTGTACATTAGTTGATTTGTGTCACGCTTTTGACTATAAATATTCGATTAACTTTCATATTGTTCAAGCTTCGAATATAGCCCTGGTTGTTTTAAATGGCTTAAAAAAATAAATTTTTGTGTTCATTCACTTCCGTAATCACTGTTTATGGATATGACAGCTTTCTAATTCTCTTTAGATTAGCCGGTAACTTGAGGTGCGTGTAGAAATTTTCCACTACCAGTTGTACTTATCATCATTTGGCTTGATCGGCGTCGAGGCAAAAGATGTGTGACTGGAGAGACTAGTACTGTTTCTGTGACGGCGTAAAAATAATTAAGTACATTTTCTTAGGTGCTTTTGAAAAATTAATGCTTTGGATGATATGATTAATGATTCGAATTTTTCACTCTATAAATCTTGCGTGATAAATCTTATTTCAAAAAACGATCATTTTAATGTATGATTTATTCCATATTTTATAAGCTGTTTAAAGCTTGTCGTAATTATACAAAAATAAAAAATTCATCATAATAAGTTGATATAAATAGAACTTGGTGTTTTTAGCTTTTTCTTTTAATAATTAATTTTCTGTTGTAAACAGTAAATAAATCCTTTACAAATTTAAAAGTGCCTACTGTCTCTTGCCATGTATCAAATCAAGATATTTCTAATTCGTGATTGCAATGAGACTGGTTTTAAATTAAATGCTTCATGTACATTGTTTACTGTATGTTCTTCTATTGACCGTTTGATGTGAAATGGCCAGTCAATGTCTTATGCAAAATTGGCTGGACTTGAACCAATATACGGACTCTGTAAGTTCTGACACAGTATTATCAAGTCATTAAATTTTCTGATTATTTGTTTATCCATCATTTTATCTGCATGTTTGTAATTATTGTTGTTTGATGTTACAAGGTAGATTCTGGTTTTGTACCTTTGTTTGTGTATGCCATATTTGGCTCTTCTCGTCAGCTAGCCGTTGGTCCAGTAGCATTGGTTTCTCTCCTGGTCTCTAATGTCTTAAGTAGCATAGTTGATTCATCTGATGAATTATACACAGAATTGGCTATCTTACTGGCATTTATGGTTGGGGTCATGGAATGCCTTTTGGGGCTCTTTAGGTAAGTACTTCTGCTTTTATCCTCTACAGGAGCATGTTCATGGATACGGCATGTAAATGCACTTTACTCAGCAATTATATACATTCTGTTTTGACATCTAAAGAAGCCAGAGCCTAAAACTTCTTGATGATGTTGTTGGTAATTGTAGCTAACCCAGAATCGGGAGCTATATAATCCTATATCAATCACACTACAACATTAGTTCTTGTTTGTACTAGTCATAAAATTAGGTTTAGCTTTGGATAATCACCTTGATGGTTTTTTTAGTTTCAGTTACATTATAATCTTTGCCTGTTCAGGCTAGGATGGATTATTCGCTTCATCAGCCACTCTGTCATTTCTGGCTTTACAACTGCTTCAGCCATTGTGATTGCCTTATCTCAGGCAAAATACTTTTTGGGATATAGTATAGTACGAAGTAGCAAGATTGTGCCATTGATCAAGAGCATTATATCTGGAGCTGATGGGGTATGCTTTGCTTGCATGCCCAAGTGGTATACCTTTCGTATATTATCTTCCTATTTGGGTTTGAGCTTGCATTTTCTCATCCAACATTGCAATTCTCATGTTAATGTATCGCTTTTATGACTAGCCGTGGTGGTTATCAATATTCTTTGTTCTAATAATGATCTTTAATCTGATAAATAATATGGAATTTTATTTCTACACTTCAACGGAATATTAAATTTCTTAGTTTTCAACTTGTGATTCTAATTGTCAAATATATGTGGCCGTGATCAACAATCAGAATCATAGTGCAACTACTGGATGTTGTGCATTATATTTCATCTGTCATTTTATGTAGTCATACCAATTAGCCTATGTAGTGGTTCATGACAGATTCTCTCTCTCTCTCTCTCTCTCTCTCTGTGGAAATTGCAAATAGGTGACAACTTCTGTTTTTTCTTTGAGGGATGTCCACATGCCATAATATACAAGGGTAGTTGATATAGTATATTTAAGAATGCAAGTCAATCACTTGCAGTTAGTTTTACAACGGTTTACAGTCAGTTTCCACAAGATACAAACTGTGAACAACTTAATGGAAGACGTGTGGAGATTAAGTCTAAAGATCAGAGTGAACCCAGATCCATTCAAACCTTATTTCTAACCTTCAAAGTCATAGATGGTTGAACTTGAAGATGGAGCTCTGTTAATATTTTATTTGTGTATGCATGAAGTGAGACTGACAAGAGTCAATCATCAGATGTTCAGTCTCTAAGACATCATTTTGGGCAACTCAACCATGTGGGTAGATTTTGAAAATGGAGTATCAGTAAATCAAAGTGAAACCAATGAGCGGAAACTGGAAGAAAAGCTCTTGGTCCCCTATAGTTAATTTGTACAATACACTCGATGGTTATTTTGCACCATCACTTCACCGAATATCAATCTGCACCAGAACCTTGAAACCTGAATACCAGGAATCGCATCAATCTTGATGGCTATCAACACAATAACATATGTGCTGATACCTAGACCATGGTTTTAACATTCATTATGCCCCAAAAAATGACTGATAATTTCATACTTTACTTAACCTTACTGTTGACTCTGTCTTGCTTTGTGTTTTACTTATCAATTCCCTTTCTTAACTG